CCCATCTGTCACAATCAACTGTTCACATAGTACTGTTGCCATGCAATAATGGTTCACACACTTTGTGCATATACTAGTATACAGAAAATGACATGTAATATAACGATGGGAGCTGTTCTTCCTTTTACCCTAATCGAAAAATGGGAAATGTACAGTTTTGAAGCTGGTATTACAGAATACTCAATACTTCCTATTTGATAGCATGGGCCATAAAGATATTATAGATCTTTGATACACATGGTAAAGTTAGTTTTCCCTTCTCCATCCCATAAGACCCTTCTAACACATACCCTCTTGCTCCTAGTTGGAGTTGGTCAAGGGTGAATGGTAACACCAATTTAGAATGGGGGCAGGTCAGTGGGTCAAGAACTAGTGCATCAATATCACTGTCAATATGTCGGTCAAGGCAAACATCTACTTCCTATTGGGGAGATACATGTAGCTTTTAAGTACAAGTGGGTTACGACCTTATGGAAATCATCTGACACCTACAGATGCTTTTAGTACATCTCTTGTCACTACATAGCCTTAATATGTGTGATCAGTTATTTTAAATGCCATTTGCCATAAGGCCATGTTAATTTGATTATATGGATGACATCTACGTGCACATGAATTTTCGGCCGTTTAAAAAAAAAAGGTTTACAACCATACTGTAAATCGTACAAAACAGTTGCAAAATCAGCAAAAATATACCGTAAGTTGCAAAAAAAAATAATAAAAATGATACCAATGTTGCAGATTGCCAAAATCAAATGAAAAAAGACGAAAATGTCAAGAAATGAATTTGAAGAGTAGATTATTCGCCATATCATATCATGTCATTTGCTCAACCTTCATGACAACGTAGATTTCATAATGAAAGCAACTTTTTTTTTGCAAAACTTTTTTTTATTCACACACTCGCATCACTTTTTGGGTTCCCAGAGGATGTCATCCATATAATCAAATCAACATGGCCTAAGTTACAGCTAACATTGCATACGATAAATCCTGGATACCGAGTGTGTGTGAATGAGAGATAACAAAATCATTACTTTCTTCAAAGGCCTACAAATTAGTACAATAAGTCTAGCTTCAGTGACAGTTTTGTTGGGAAGCAGCCACTTTATCTCTGCTTTTATGTACTCCAGTAGTTGGACCGTAGGTTATCAATCAATTTTATAGACTAAAAATGGCACTTGTCAGATTAAAATGAGGCCAGGTCAAGACAAGGTGAAGTGTTAAAAACATCAACCAACCTTCTGATCAAATTCACACAAAAAATTGATAGTTTTCAAGCTCCCATTTAAGGCTCTTTTCTTCCTGTCAGAATTGTGATAATATCTCCTGAACAGGTGCAGTCTAGCCTCTATAAACAAGGTCTAAAGCTACAGGTGGTCAAGGGGTACAAGTAGGGTAGTTCTTGCATGTGTATACCACAAATGTTATAGGTCTGCTTGAAGCAATTCCATAGCTTACTGTCCAAATCTATGAATAAGAATTCTTTGTACACAAAACCTTATGCTAAGTACAGGCTGTCATCCACTGCATGATTGTACTAACTGATCATATACATTCATACATTCTATGTACAGTATTGTACTAGTTTGTTCTGGGACTGCTGCTAGGAAAATAGGCAATTAGCACTACTATTTTGTGATAATGTTTGTACACAAAAACTATATTACCGGTAACTTTTGTGACTGAATGTCACCATTTCTTTGGGAAACCATTTGCCACATGACAAATACACCAAAAGGCACTAGATCCCAAATACACACAAACGTGTTGAACTACTTGTAATATACACATTTTGTACCTTGTGTGGCTTGAGTTGTGCTTGCCTCTTCCCACTGGGCAGAATAGTCACCTGCAGGGTCCTAAACATAGCGACAGGTACTGGCCTATATACACATGCACAGCCTAACAGCTGTCTTCACACCAATCAATGTTGACAAAATACAACACAGAAGTTACAACTCCTACGGCTTGTATCAGTCAGATGAACCACTTCTGGAAGGTTGGGATGCACGGTTATCTTCTGAACTTCCTCCAGGAACCACTGGTATCAGAATCATGTCTTCAAGACCATCAATAAGATTGCCACCATCCCTGCATTGTGCCTCAAGAGTGGAATCTCCCGTGGATTAACACTCTGCAATCCAAACCTTCCCTCGCTTGACCCAATGTCCTGGCCCCTCTTCTGGCTCAACTGGCTGCATATTCAGGATGACCACTGACCCAATGGTGTCTAAGCATTGTAACAATACTGTAGATAGGAACAGGCATCAAATCTCCAATGTCCAACGATACAGGACATTCCTGATTTGGGACATGTCTGCATTCAGAACAGGTTATATGACTGTAGCTAATTTACATGTCAATGAGGTCTTCATCTGTTTACCACCTGTGAAGTTATTTGGGTAATAATAACTAGTACAGTTCTGTCTTGTGCCTTATAGCCCTAGTATAGGAGTTAAATGATCTGTAGACAAATAGACTAACAAGGCTATAATATTACACTACAAGCTCATTCTTTGAATCCACAGTATAGAATTTGCCAGTAGTATTCCAGACAAAGAATTAGCATAATAAGACCAATAGGGTGTCTCCAGTAGCACATGGGAGTTTGACGGATGACATCACTTGCAAATTAAAGCCCACCCTATCAATTATGGGAAAATTACATGGTACCAACATCTGAGTACAAGAAAGAGCACTAGAATGTGCATTAGCATTATTCCATTCAAACTAAGTAATACACAATCTACAAAAGTGCAGATAGGGGATAGACTGTTGATACAAGAATTGAAAGGATTCTTTATTATTCCCAAACCCAAACATGAGCTTGAGGACAATCCAACACCTTCTTGTTTAACCAAAAACCTGGGAAGCCATGGAACACAATCACAATTTGTCAACAGGGACCTGTCATTAGCAAAAATACAGCCTTTCTAATGCCACCTTGTGGCTTCACAGCTAGTTATAGGCCATTATAATGTGTAGGACCAGTTACAAAGGAAAGTTCTGTAATCAATTTGCAGTACATCACAAAGTTTGGACAATTTGTCTTCTGCTTGTGCGGTTGTTATGTTAACGTCACAACACAACTTAAAAGTGCGTATAAAGAGCTCACAACAGCGGGAACAAATCTAGGTCAGGGGTTATATGCAAATTTCCGCATTTCACCGAGAAGACTTGCTATATTTGTTGTTTGCGCTCTGTTCGGATATATGTTTGGGCTATAATGTAACTAAACGGTACATACTGCTTTTTCTGTCTATGGGAGGCTCCAAGGGATATGGCAATATTGTTTGGTAATGACGATGAGTTTACGTCAGTCTATATTATACTAGTACTAGTAGCCAGCACGTCGGCAGAACGTACTGCGCCTGCGCAGAACCCTGATTTTTCACGTTTTTCTTTGGATTTTTGGTCAACGTTGCATTAGAATTTTGCCTGTTGCAGACAATATTTTTTCCGACATAACATTTGGAAACTACATACGGAGTGTTAACCTTATATGCACAAATACGGCCTTATATGAGACGTTCTGCCAAGTGCTATGTACAATACATTACGGATTTCGCGCAGGTGCAGTACGTTCTGTTGATGTGCTCTAGTAGCCTATTGTATGGGCTGCGAAAATCTGCGTATAAAGTGGGCCCAATATACCATTTAAAGTAGTGTCTTATGATTTACAGACCTGATGAAGCTACTGAATTGGAATCCAGTCAGGCAGCTGAGTGACATGTCCAGCTGACAGCTGTTTGTTTATAGTAGTGGGCTCATTATTTATAGCCTACTGTAATGTCATGGTTCTCAGCATGTGTTACATGTGACAATAGGATTGAGGCTTGAGCCTGTCTAATGATACCCCTTCCCTTGATGAGGTGAAGGCACTTCATAAAATCATGTTTACATGATAAAAGGGAGAAGAAAACAAGATGCTAATTAAATGATTGGCAATGTCAACACTCAGTTAACACAAAAGGATGGTTAGCACGAAAGGAAACTACGTGTAATACACATATACATGTAGTGTGTATTCAGGACACATGTACATGTTTTCCTTCGTACATGTATATTTTTGTATATACGAGTTCCCTCTGCAATATCAACATGTGTAAGATATGATGGTAATCATGGTATCAATGCTGTACATGGCTACCCTTTATGATATGATACGCTTTGTGCCACAGTTCAATAACTTACGTATAATCTACAAACTCTACAAACTGTTATGGTCTTGTTGAAGAGGTTCATCAGTCATGTAGAATTAACAGTTAGTAGAAATTCTTCAATCAGTGACTGTATTTTTGTAAGGTAGATTACGTACCTCCAAATTTTCGGTGTCGACTGTACACCTTTATGTTATGGTCTACTTGGACAGTGAAATTTGTGTTATTCAATAACAGACTATGGATCTAAACATCTGTTTGGAGATGAAGATGAAGAGAAAGAGTACCTTTCTAGGCTTTGTGCTGACACAGGCATGTTGCAAATTATAAGGCTGCCAAAATTCTTTCTCCCTTTGTTCTACTCATAGTGTTTGTCTAATCTGTGTTTGTCTTATAATTTCATTAGAAAGAAAGCAGAGTTTTCTTTGGCACTAGTGAAGAAGAGAAGTACCAGTAGTATCTTTCTAGGCTTTGTGCTGGAAGACATGTTGAACGATAAGGCTGCCAAAATTGTGACAGTATGCACTTCTCTCATATGTTTTCCAGTATTTGATATCTTTATTAGAGTGACTTTCCAAGGAACAAAGAGAGCTCACAACTCTAACAGCTTTCAAAAATTCACTGTGAGTGGCAGCTATCGACCTATGGACTGAGTAGCATATGTATATTGAGTTACGATTGCAATATATACTGTCATTATTGTGTGTATTTTCCCCATGTATATTATGTATTTTATCCTGAAAAACAGGTCAAAGACCTGAGCGTAATCCTCTGGTAAAATAAATAAATGAAAATGAAATGAGTTCTCTTTGGAATCATTGAGAAGTGAAAGAGTACCTTTCTAGGCTTTGTGCTGGAAGACATGTTGCATGATAAGGCTGCCACGATCCCTGCAGTGCCGTGAGGTGATGTCTGCAGTCTCTGGGCTCCTCACTGCTCCAGCTGATGTCTGCCACTCCTGCCCTGCAGGCAAACAGATCAATACAATCACTACTAATACTATTAGCTGTAGCATGTTCACTATGTGGCGTTGTGTAGCATATACGTAGTGGTTAGTGGTAGATCGTTCGGTGCTAAAACAAGGAGACCCGGTTTCAATCCTGGGTCCAGGTACCTCTGTATCTGTATCTGTACCTGTATAGCCGGTATAACCGCCTTTCGGTGTAGCACACCAGCTTCGCAGGCATGCGGCGCAGCGGCAGCTGGGTATATTACACTGATCGACTTGTTACACCTAACCCTTGAACTTGTACTTCAAAATCTTGAAATGTTTAATGTGTTTCTACTTTTGCAGCTTTCATGATGTTTGCCCAGTATACAATTAGTGCTGTGGCCACACCAATTTAATTTGTTGGTTCTCGGATTCGCCTCTTCGTTTTTTTCTGATTTGCAAAAAAAAAAAAAAAAATGATTCTGGTCCTGAATCAACTGAAAAATGCTCATGTTTTGCCCCCAACAGTTGAGGAAAGTCCTTTTCTTCCTAGTTGTTACAGTTTTCCCATCTATCATTGCAGTGGTTTGATTAAAAGTTCAAAATTCAATGTTTAAATTTTAACCCAGCCTTTTGTGTTGACTTCATGGCTCATTCCGTAGCATTTAAGCCTATAATAGGGTGCCTAGACCTGTTTTTATTTTTATTTTTTTTCGCCCTGTCGCTTCATATTTTTTCTGAAAAAAATCCGAGAACCAACAAATTAAATTGGTGTGGCCTGTGTACCTAAACCCATATGAGGTCCAGATTCAAGTACAGGGGCATGTCCGAACTTGCACCCCGACGTTGTGCCCTTGGAAAAGGCACTTTACACGTATCCCCCCTCAATTAGAGGGACAAGTCTCCAACGGCAGTTGTCTTCGGCTGGCGGACGAGAGCAGCGCCAGGCTGGCTGGCTGGCGTGATCAAGGCTGACCTTGAGCGTAACCAAGTCATCCGGCAGCTCACTGCAAGCAACCCAATTGGAACCAGCATGTATCCATCGATGAGGATCCGCTGGGGAAGACGGATGCCCAAGTGTGTGGGTCTCAGATTCGCAACCTGTTATCCACCTTAGTTAAACAAATCCACGCAAAGGCCACTGTGTCAACTGTAATCCTCACTCAGGTGTAGGAACTGACACGGTCATCATACTCGGAAAATCTGTATCTGTATATCTGTACATGAATCTGTATCTGTAAATGAATCTGTATCTGTGCATGACTATGTATCTGTACATGAATCTGTATCTTATTGCAAATAAAGATCTCGAGTGATTGCCATAGAGCACGTTCACTAGTGATCCTAGATAAGATGATTCATATATAAACTTATGATCTAATGCATCACCAAATGGCAGGCAAAAACAGATATTGGAACTAGAGAAGACACAGGAATCAGTGGGTAAAAATCAACATTCTGGCCATAGTAACTTACAACTTAACAGCATATATGAGAAAATGCATGATTACAATAATTCCAACTTTCGATCAACCACAAGGAAATTCATTACAAATTTTTAAAGAAATCTTCAGCTCTCTTGGGAATTCTATAATATTGGCTTGTTGAGTTGTTCAGAAACCAGAGTCAGTGACTAAAATTTCACCTTAGATTTTAGTTTTTGCCTACCAATTATAGGATATTGTTGGTGGGTATTTTCATCCCCGCATATAATGAAACAGTAAACCTCAAACATATGGCAATGTATAATCTTACTCTCGTGCGCCTATATGCAAATTACACAATATCTGTTTCAATGTCATTCATATATCAAGCTCGGACAATATTAGCATGATGTAATTTGTGCATATTTGTGTTTCATTTTAGTACTTTGTCATTTCAGATGCAGACTTGGCGCTATCCATAATTTGAGCAGAGACTACCACTACCAGTAGATCTAGATGTTAACAGTTAAGTGGGCTGCAAAATATACTACTGACTGTGTTAGTAGCAGAAGATCACACAGTGGTTCTACTTTTGCAGCTATCATGATGTTTGTACAGTATACAATTAGTGCATTTAGGTTCATGTCTGGATTCAAGTCCTGAGGTTTAGGTTCAGTTCCGGGCTCATAAGTCCAGACCTAAACCCATGGCATATACAAAATTGCATGTTGGCAACCTTGCAATGTTGTCTGGGCAAAACTTTGGCCACATAACATGGAGGCCGACACTTGACGATGCCCAATAGCAATGTTTTCTTCATTTTGCAGCACAGTTTTTGCAATCTACGGAAGGTTTTAGGTGGTTTGGAAAGAAAAAAGGTATGTGAAATGTTTTTTTTTTTTTGGTAATAAGTCCGGAATTGGTTCTTGACTTGTAGTTTTTTTTTACTTGAACCTAAACATTTTTACAAGTCCGGAAACGGTACACAGCACTATATACAATGTATTGCTGTACTAAGGAGTTCTTAAGCTTTCAACTTGTAAACTTAAACACAACTTGAAAATTTCCTTCCTTCTAAGAAAAGGAAATTAAGTCGCTGCAAAAATAAATGGATTTACAGTATATTAGAAGCGACATAATTACATACACAAATCCTGAAATACCTCATTCCCTTGTCTGATGTGAACTGACAGATGCCATACAAATATGGACGTCTGTGTCCTTCGGAAATACCCGTGGGACTTGTCTCCAACAATTCAATCTACATCCAACCACAATGGACAATAATGATATTAACAATGCCTTTGTTGAAACACACAACATATAGACAAGGCTAGAAATTCAATTTTGGAAATAGGTGCACCCAACCTAAAACATTAGGTACACAGAATTTTTTTGGGTGCACCATATAACACAAAACCTAATCACAGATCTTACTGTTCCTTTTCTTAGCTTGATCTGAAATTGGAGCTAACTTCAAAATCAGCAAAGAAAGATTTTTTAATTTTTCTGACACTTGGATGCCAAGAATATCCTGCACATTTGTACAATGTACAGTGTACAGTGCACCCACAGAAAAAAATTGGGTGCACAGCTCCAATGTTGGGTGCACCAAGGTGCACATGCACCCAGTATTTTGAGCCCTGATAATTCTATGACCTATGAGAAATGTTACATGCCTGGGGGGTAAAAACAACTTGACCTGTACATGATCATACTAGTACATCTGTACATGTAGTACATTGTATTACCATACTAGTATAGTGATACATGTAGTACTATCAGATCTGGTGACTTATGCCTGGTTGCCTATCCAGGGCACAAAAACAAAGCAGGTCACTCCACTTCATTCCAATAGGTGGGGTCTATAATGCCCACAGGAATTTGAATATCTGGTGTCTTCACATGCTTTTGTTTGTGAGCAATCCAAGTCCAGCTGGGTAAACCATTAAGACAACAATTTCTCAGGAATAGCAAACTTATAAACAATAGCATCTCTGGAAATATGATCTGGTCTGGCATGGTCAGTTTTGTATCATGTGGCTAATTGTATACTTCAACATGTGATAACAGGCCATCATACAAATGGTACACAGAAAAAATGGACGAACAAAATCACTACTAGTGAAAAAAGTTATTAGAAGTGTTGCTGACATTTTGCTGACATTTTCATTGAAGCTGAACCAATATGTACTCATCAAGTCACAGTTAAGCTTACTGGAAGTTTATGTTTATTATAAGCACATGTATATCAGATTTATCTAGCTCATTGCAGACTTTATAATTTTACAACAATTTACAATGTAAAAAGTCTGACAGCTGACTCATTTGTTGAAAGAGGGAAATATTGACGCACCTGATTCTATATTGTCTAATGTCTATAATTATAAAATCTCCAGAACATCTGGAATTAGAAAATTGTTCTATGAATCAAAACAAATACACAAGCTGTAACTGTCAACATTTCAAACTGATCAATCATAGTCACTCGCTGTTTAACAAACCATTTATAGTTGTTAAAGACCTAAAATCAGATTTCCTGTATTTCAATACCCTCCAAAGTGAAATTCTGTTCAAGCTGTGGCCGTTGTATTTGTGTAATTATATAGATATATAGTCGACTCGTTTTTAATCTTTGTTACAAAATGTACACATGAAAGATCAAATCATGGTAAATTTTTGGATGAACTTGCACAGAAACACGTTTACAAAAACGTTTAGATAATGCTTAAAGATGGGGTTGATGTGATAAATATTATTTTCTCAATCCCTGGGAAGTTGACACAGGACTTGTGGCTGTCACAAGGCTCCAGTTTTCAGTTTACGTGACAAGAAACTCCTATTCTAAAACCAACCGGACTTTTTGTTATGAGAGTTGGCAGTGTCAACAAGTGACTACCCAATTATATGTGCAAGAGTCACGTACTCACAATTTGCGAATCATGGGGGCCATAACATGTCCCTACAAGACACTAGCCACGTCAAATGTAAGTCTTAATAGTAGATTTATAGCGATGAAAGTTCAAAAGTATCCGTCTAAAATTATTATTCGCCGGCTGCCCAACCCACTACGCGAGACAACTCCCCTCACTGGAACGGGGTTCGAATATGACGAATTTATGCCCCGATTTTGCGGTGATGTTTTCTCCTGGCCGCTTCTAGTGGGGGATACTTTGGATAACTAAGACTTACCTCGTCTTCTGATAGTCACAGACTCCGTAAAGCAGGCTTAGAAGGCTTCAAATCGACGGAGTTTTGGGAGAGGAGAGTGTCAGACACATCATTTGACGTCCGCCATTTTGGACCCACTTCCGCGGTGCATGACGGGACGAGTTAAAAGTCTGAGAAGATGAGAACTTTGGCCTCGCCGTGCGGGAAATTCAAACAAACATGTTTACAGGTCTTGACGTAGGTCAAAATCAAATCTTTATTTGTCTTCTTGACGTCCACGGGCGTTGCCACGTTGAATATACGCAAGCCTTGCTGGTACTACGGTCTTCAAATGAAATTGATGAACATTCCAAAGAACCATAAATAGCTATTCCTATTCCTACACTGATTCTTTTACTTTTGACACCCCAAAGTGAGGATAGTTTTGCATACATGTACTTACTAATACGCCAGAGGGAGTATACATGCTCAGTCATAGTATAAAACTCAATGCACTAGAAGCAGAAAACTTGTCAAGTGCGCACTGCGGTTTTCACACTTTCCGCCTGGGGTCGTAACTGCACTGCTACTTTCCCAGCTCCATCTGATCAGGTACTTTTGCTGCAATGTATTTCTTTTTCGTCGATTTCATTACCTTCGCCAAGAAGGTTATGTTTTCAGTAGCGTTTGTCTGTCTGTCTGTTTGTGAACAGCATAACTCAAGAAGCTTAATATGTATTGTCATGAAACTTGGTAGGTGGGTAGGTCTTGATGAGACCTAAAAATGATTAGATTCTGGGCCCCCTGGCGGCTTTTGTTGGTACTGCAGCAGAACTTCCGGTTTTGATATCTCGCGATCTGGACATGCTAGAGTCACGAATTTTGGTTGGTAGATAGCTCTTGAGGTGGGGAAGAAGTGACATGAGTTTGGGCCCCCTAGCAGCTTGTTCTGGAACTGCAGGAGCGTTTCTTGAAAAAATCTCCGAAGGTTGATAACTCAAGAACCGGTTGACGGATTGTCATGATTTTTGGTACTAGTATGTAGGTAGCTGAAGTGATACTTGACATAATCAGATGACAATTATGCAAATCAGGAGCTAATTTGCATAATTAATGAGGACATTCTATAAATCTGCTTCGTTCGATTATAGGACTTTGAAACACTTGTGACATGTAATTGAGAACTAGAAAAACATCTGAGGATATAGATTATGTAAATGAAGACCTAATTTACATAATTAATGGAAAATTGTTATAATTTCATAGTTGTAATTGCTGGGAATTTCATACTTGCCGTATTTGGAAGTTAAGTGAAGGTGAACATCAATGAAGATAATTTATTCACATTATGAACTCATTTGCATAATTTATGAGGAAGTGCTAGAATAGCCTACTTTGTTAAGATAAGGCTGCCATTGGGTAGAGAATATGATCAACTGATGTAATCCATGCATATGACGCTCTTATTTGCGAAATCAATTATTGAAATTGTATAATTCGTCAACCGCAAGGGTTAACATCATTTGGCGAAGGTATGAGATCGTGGAACTCTTGTTAAACGTATGAGTTTACTTTCGTTTACCCAAAGGCATTAGTAGGTTTATGTTTCTTCCCTGTGTTGTAGTTGAAGAAGACTATTAAAGTGCCATGTATAGTGTTTGTTGCTCTCCCTTTTGGAGGAAAGTGACTAACTTCGCAACACACGCATGCACGCACGCACGCACCCTACGGTACCTGTAGCCTCTTAGTACCAGGCTTCGATTGGCTAGACCACAGTACAGGTGTGCGGGGCGTTCTCATGATCAGATTAATACACAACAGGGTATGATGGTTGTTGTAACTTCCGTGAACGGAACTCAGCGTCACGAGAGGTATTGTTTTTTACGTAGCAAGCCCAAGTCACTCAGTACTGTATCACGTATATTTGGTTGGAGAGTAGGTATTAACATTCCACCCAGTATATCAGTTATAAATCAGTACACGGTCCATTTTGCATATTTCAGATGACATGTGTATTCACCAGTTCCAACAATACTAGAAGGCATTCTTGTATACATGTCATAAGGGACATTTTTGCAAATGATGTACTGAAATGCAGTATCTTTCTCTTTTTAACAAAAATCTGCAAAATATATACATGATGAATATTGTTGTCTTTTCGTAAAATGCTTTGATGTATTCACAGGATGTCTAGCATATCCTCTGGCACGACAAACACAATAGACTTTTGTTTACGGTGAAAAAATCGAACATCGGCCTACGGCCATAGTGAACATTTCATATAATTCATTTCATATAAATAATTTCTTTACAAATATAGATAGCTCGATGTGAAAATAGAAAATGTCTGTGTTAGATATTCAGCGCCAACACGAGCGGAGAGCCTTGCGGCAGCGTGACAGGGCGGAGGCAGCTCCCCACAGCCGACGTTTCACCAGCTTCTTGACAGGGTGAGTCTGTGGCTGACTGTCGCCGTTCTCCTGTGTCTCCTCCTCACTGGGAATCTCCTGTTCGCTGATCAGGCCCTGCAGCGTGGCGAGCGGGAAGTCCTGTGGCTGGATCTTCAGCCGAACAGACTCCGCTGATCTGTTCAAGATATCGTACAGTTCAGACGTCGTCTTGTCGTGTACAGGGAGGAAGTTCATGGCAACCAGTCGGCCGACTGGAAGGGGTCCGATGCTGCCTGCTGCTTGGCACACCACGTGGATTTTGCGCAGGGTCTCCTCTGAAGCACCAAACGGCTTCTCCAGGACCTCAGTAGCGAGGAGCAGGAACTCGAACTGTCCCAGCCTGTTCCGGTACAACACAAAGTCCTTGCACCTGGCAGGCTTGGGCGGAGGGGCAGGGGTGTTGTCGGTGGTCTTGTCTGTGTTGTCTCCACGGTGAAGCCTGGGTGGTTTAGGCGGTGGTGTACCGGTAACCACACCGCTAGCTGAGGGGACGGAGTCGGTCTGTTCTGTCAGCTGTTCCAACTCTGCCCTGATCTTCCGAACAGAAGGTCGGAGGCTGAAAAAAAAAGGACAAAATTACGTTAATATGACGTTCTAGAAGCAGCTTATATATAATATCTGTTAAAATGGGCTGGAATCACTACAGATGGCCAGATGGCATTCGCCAATACTAGTATTTTTAAAAAGAAAAGTAAAAGACAACTCTAAACTTTTCTACGTTTGTAACCTTTGGGTATTAAAGTTGATTTGGTTACAGCTGGGCATGGTAAATGTAAGAACATTGAAATCACCACTATGTAAGATAATGGTGCTTCTAAATTCACATTGTGTATCACTTGTCCATCCCCATAACCGCACGACGTCGTGTTCAAATCTTTGTCATCGCTAAGTACAACAGAATAGACCCATTCGACTTTCACGGACCGTATAAACTGCTTACGTCACAGGGGGGACATTTCGAAAGAACATCGTTCTAGAACGATGACGTCGAACGCGGCTTGTGCTCGCGGTGTCCCCCCTGTCAGATCATTTTTTTACTAAAATGTAGGTAAGTGTCTTTTTTTTCTCTGTAATATATGCGGAAATGACAGGAAAACAGGCACCAACATTGTATGGTGGTAATCCGTACAACAATTTACTGTTATTTTGTGCTGTGACGTATGCAGTTTATGCGATCCGTGAAAAGAACTTTCGAAATGTCCCCCCTGTGACGTATGCAGTTTATGTGATCCGTGAAAGTCGAATGGGTCTTATTCACTGTATTGCCAATTCATTGAAATTCTTTATGGCCTGAAAGGGGTTTGAATTCACGACCTGCTGAATGAAGGAGACACTCCATACCCAGCAGGTCATTGCTGCCGTACCTGATCGGAACTCTGTCGTCATCCGGTAGTGCATGTGAGGATGCCACACCGCTGATGTCTCCGTGAGACCGGCTGGCCAGGGCCTCGTACCCCCGGATCAGACTGCTCACGTTAGCTGATCTGGAGTGGCAACGTGTACAAAGTTGTTACAGCAATGTATGAACAAACGAATTGTTTAAACTGCAATCGTCGTTTGCCAATATTTCCCGTTGTCTTCCAGTCAAAGTGAGGTGGCTTCTGTGCTGAAGAGGTTCTGTAGGTGACTGACAAAATGTCATCAGGAAGAATGCAGAAACCCACTTTGTGAACCCCCAACCCTAAACACATAAAGTGAGTTTTCATCAAAATATGGCAGGAGAACACAGCTTATATCGGCTTCTGTCTTTATAGATATGGGATCCTCTCTCCTCTCAGTTCTAACTGTTCTGAACATTGTTAGTTAAACCCGACTAAAGAGTTCTTACTCGCTAAACGAGCTGACTGCATCTCCCTCTTGCCCGGGCTATGTGAGAGAAGCAACACAAGGCAATATGAACAACAAAACAAACAAACAAACAAACAAATAAACAAGCAAATAAACCAGAGCAAAGCAACAGAGTTAACATGGAAAATTCGATAGAACAAAGGGGATTTATTAGAGCGAGCGCAATATGTACATCGGAAGTGTAAGAGGAGAGTAAATCTGTAGAGTCGGGCCACCGTAAATTCTATGCACTGCATTTTACCGTCTATCTACTCAAACCCGATGGTTTAACGACACTTCTGCAAACCCAAAATTACTAGCAGAGGACTGTGGGAAGCATGAAAAAGATAACACTTCTAACTGGCCATAACTGTTGTCAAATGCTATCTTACCTTCACCGTCCCCTCATCACACTCACGGGTCAGTTTTCCCAGGGACGACTGGACGAGCAAGCTCAAATCACATCCCTGACAATACAGTGAGCAGGAATGGGAACATAAGTTTAGGGTAAGATTACATATAAGAACAACAAAATAAAACAATATAGGATCCACATTTACATGTCGATATGCCTAAAGAAGCAAGGGCTTTAAATTAAAGTTTTGAGAAATATGAGAGTTGCCGCCTTACGGTGGAAAGCTGTAACGAAATCACTTACCTCAAACTGACTCCCAATAGTACTCAAGTCGTACTCGGTCTTCACTTTTCGAAGTGTCGACATCATGTCTTTGTTTCCTTCTGTGCGGTAGACAATGTCCACTCTCAGAAGGCCTCAGAACAATACAAGCCAACAGAGGTCTGCAAATGAACAATGGGAGAAAGTAAAGTACAACGTAAAGTGACTAAGCTGGAGTCGAGAGCGGGATGTCGATTATCAAGTGTCTCCCCTTCTGAAGATAGATTATCAAATGAAAAGTGAATACAAGTAACGTTACATGTATCTTCAATTGTCGTGTGCACGGCAAGGCGTTTGTATACACAACAAACTAAAAGATCTTACAGACACCAAGTAGACTTACTAAACTGCCTTCCTGTAGTGCGAAAATGCGCTTACAAACGATAATGACCTTGACAAGTTCAACTTATGTGACCTTTGCGACAACCAGGTTGGTTACAATCCTACGAAATTTCGTGCTTCATTTAGCCATATATGAACCGTTTAGACGAATTAACTGCCCTACTAACATATAAAATAACACTTATTACGTAAGATAGTCAAGTCAATCTATATATGACTGGGATTGGCAAATTTAGGCCAAAAGTTTACCTAAAACAGAAGAGAGAAAACTTTCCTGACCTTGTTCGCAAGTACGAAACCTGTCGAATGTGTAGAATTCGAACCCGTGTCCATGGCAACCGGATAAACAACCATGATGTTCGTTGTGACGTGTTTCCATCGTCACCCGGTGTTCGAACTCTGTTGTTTACCAGGTTGCCATGGACACAAGTTCGAATTCTACCGTGACATTCGACAGGTTTCGTACTCGCGAACAAGGTCAGGAAAGTTTGTCTCCTCTTTTTTAGGTAAACATTTGGCATAAAGATCTAAATCTCAGTTATGTATTACGTATAAGGTGTTAATCATGTCTAAGTAGGGGAATTTGCTTGTCCAAAACTGTTCATATCTGGCAAAATGAAGCACGAAATTTCATAGGAACCATAAATAGCTATTCCTATTCCTACACTGATTTTTTTTACTTTTGACACCCCGAAGAGGGGCTAGTTTTGCCTACTTAGTAATACACCAGAGGGAGTATACGTGCTCAGTCATAGTATAAAAGTCGATGCACTGGAAGCAGAAAACTTGTCAAGTGCGCACTGCGATTTTCACATTTTCCGCCAGGGGTCGTAACTGCACTGCTACTTTCCCTGCTTCCTCAGTGATCTGGCACCTTTGCTGGAATATATTTCTTTGTTCTCGATTTCATTAAACGTATGAGTTTACTTTCGTTTACCCAAGGACATTAGTAGGTTACCTATTTCTTCCCTGTGTTGGAGTTGAAGAAGACTATTAAGTGCCATGTATAGAGATTGTTTGTTACCCTCCCCTTTTGGAGGAAAGTGACTAACTTCGGAACACAGGCATGCACGCACCCAATCCTTATACCTGAACACAGAACAGTAGCCCAGTGCGAAAACACACAGTACGGTGCAGCTTACAGGGCTTGGGTTACCAGCGCTATCTGTGTGGCGGCCAGGACACTTCTCTAAAACCCATCAATTTTGCTAATGCTGTCACGAAAAGACTGAGAAACTTTGAAGCTGTGTACTGCGCCCGAACTCAAGTCTCACGATATTCCCAAAACTTCAACCTCCGCGGATATTCCTCAGATGTCCCTGGGATGGAGAAAAGAGCCTGGTTGCTGGTATTTTGCTGGAATGTTTGTTGGTTTAATACTGTAACATGTACATGATGTACAACGCAGAAGACACGTAAATGTGTAGTATATCTGGGGTGTCTTCGGTCAAAGATCACTTACTGTACTTGTACTTGAGTAGGTCTCCTCATCTCTGTGAGTGGACTGCGTCAAAGTCGTCCCTCCGGTCAAAGATTACACCAACACAAATAGCTGCCTGTGTTTTGATACTTCTACTGGCACCGCAATTTCTAGAGTAGTAGAGGGCTAGTCAGTTAAAACTAGCTCCTCAGTTTCCTTAGTACAAAGCAACTGGTGTGCGGTACTACGGACGAATATTATCATTATCATAAGTTAAGATATCGTTCTTTTGTGTGTCAACATCTACAAATGGCTAGCTGACTCTGATCTCCAATCAGATTTACTGGTGGCATGACATATCAGTGAGTACAGATCTTGGGAAGTCATCCGTACGTATTTGGCCAATTTGAGTTAATATTTCTTCCCAAAGCAGTCAGATTCGGGTTCCGAACACAACAAGTCTTTCCTGTCAGCTGGGCACCTAGCCTCTACCAGGCTTCGGGAGGCGGCTGGAAAGAGTAGAAATCGTTCAAATAGAGAGATAACATACCGAGGGAGAATTGGTCCGCCAGAGAGTACATTTTGCCGGGAGAGGCAAACTGTTCTCTCCCAGCAGACCAACTCCCTCGGCATGTTATCTCTCTATTTGGCCGATTTCTACTCTTTCCAACCGCCTCCCGAAGCCTGGCAGAGGCTACTGGACACCCACTAGTGCACTCCATCAGAAAAAAAGGTCCAGGAAAGAAAGGGCGCGAGGTCAACAGGAAAATAGACAGTTCCAATGACACAGTCAGCAGGGCAGTTTTGTTCGTGCCCAGTGACAGGTCCGACTTTCCATGGCAGGTTCTCTGTCTTTGTCCCACGGAACAGAAGGCATCTGAGCTCATTCAGGACACTAGCTGGGTTGAACCAAGGATGATTGAACGTCCTTGGTTTAATGCAACGAAGCAAGCGATGACTAAATAAACGGTGAATAAAGAACTGCCCTACATACGTACACCTACCAGCGCTCAGTCCTTTTTGGCAAGCCGCTTCAAGCATATATACTTGTACACATTATTAATTTCAGCACACTTTCTGATAATGCTAAACAACTTATAGTTCTTCGCGGCAGTTTGGTTTGTTCGAATGACATTAACTGTGAAATTATGTTAGCCGCGGAAAATTACATCACAGAAACGCTTCTAGTTGTATGTGTCCTGCTATGCTTTCCTTCTCTTCTGGGATGGGAGGTTTGACTCATGCTATCCATAGTTTTTTCAAACGTCTTTCAAATGTCTTTTCTCCATTGTAAAAGTGGCTACGCGAATATAAGTTGTACCTAACTTGAGTTCGCAGTCACTTAGTCCATGTTCTTTTAGTTGTATTCACCACTGTGCTTCTGAATAATAAAAAAAGAACTTAGGTCTGGTGTCACTGTTTTTTTTGCCTATTGATTTCTATCTATCTATCTATCTGCATTTGCACAGACTTAGATTGACTGAGCTCAGAAAGAAATGAAGTATAATATTTCTATCTAACCAAGGAGCTTGAAATACTAGTAGAAGGATTCTTGATCTAACGTAAGATGAGTACCCGTTATCAAGGACATTACAGCGATATGCTTATCCTTTAATACTGAATTTCCGTCTGCAAACTTTGTATTTTAACTCGCTCTAATTGGATAGAGAACTGCTATGGAACTGAACAGTAAGAGTTTGTACATGTGCAATACTGGCGAAGGTACATATATGAACCAAATTTTTTCTTGTGTTTGAGCGAACATTTGAAAGTAACCTTTAGCAGACTGCAGTAGCCGTTTTTCTAGGCCTATTCTCTCTAGGTTAGGCAGCCCTACTCTCCAAGCAGAGATTTGGGTGTTGGCTTATTTTTGGCGTGTTTTTAGGCTTTTTAGTCGGGGTTTCATTTTCTGGAATTCTTTTTATGCCAAATTCCAGTGGAAATAAGAACCCCCATAAAAAATCTAAAAACACGCCAAAAAAAGGAAGCCAAAACCCATGGAAACTTCTGCTTGGAGAGTAAAGGCAGCCCAAAGAAGAAGCACTATGATGGCCCCAACGCAAATGAGTTTTCCTGCTTATTTCATAGCCTCCGTAGCAGGCTTATAGAAGTGGGGGATTTGGTGGTCTTCGGCTGTTTTCTGATTAGCCCTGTTATAAAAACAGGGGTAATTCAACCAGCCCGGCTATGTTGTCTATATGCAATCAGAAAATAGCACAAAAGGCTCCCAAAGATGCTGAAGACCCCCAAACCCCCAGCTTTTGGCATGCTATGGAGGCTACTTATTTCAGACACCTGTCTACCCTGTATTTATGACCGACCCTGTCAGATAGTGGAAAACCCGATTTTCACCCCAATTTCCTGGCTGAGTAGCTGCAGAGAAAAGACAGCCCTATCACAGTATCAGCCCTCTGGGTCTCTGAAGAGCGGGTTGAAAAAGCGCCAGCGAGAAATTCACGATGAATAAAACGGTAAATTCACAAAAGCTCTAAATATTTTACGGAGGTACAAGACCTCCAGTTTCTTGTTCCGCTTTCATTCTTTTAGTCTCTGCCCGTAAATTGCATTTTTTTTTATTCAGAGAAACAATAATACAAAGAAACTGAAGGACGAAGACAAAGTGGCGACCTACTCAAATTGTGCAAAACATATTTTCTAGCCGCCACGTGTACATTGAAAATGAAATTAATGTTTGACAAGTCACTAAGAAAATAATAATACACATAAAACCAATCATTACAATGTAGCTTTGGTGAACATGAGTCCAACCTCCTCCCCCATGGAAGAAAGTATAAAGAACACGGACAACTAAAACGTTTTGTTGATATGATGAATTCCTGTGTGGCTAACATAATTTTGCAGTTGATATTACAAGATCTGAGCAAACTATCAAGTAGACTTCTTATTATAGAATATTTGGTTCTGCCTGTGAATTACAGGTGTATTACAGATGTATCCCAATGTGTTAGGCCATACCAATTTAATTGTTGGTTATAGGATTAGCTTCTTCATTTCTTTCTGATTTGCAAAAAAAAAAAAAAAAAAGGATTCTGGTTCTGAATCAACTCAAACATTCTCATATTTTGCTCCCAACAGTTGAGGAAAGTCCTTGTCTTCATAGTTGTTACAGTTTTTCCATCTATTAATACATTGGTTTGATATAGGTTTTTGAACAAGGTTCGCAAAAGAAGGATCAAGAAGGTATACCTGGCTGCCCCCCTCCCACCCTGACTTCACGTGCGACGTACCCTGTAAGACCCAGCTTCTCGCTACAAGATAAGGGCCTTGGGTCAAGAATGGCACAACAAGCTCTTCAAATCCTCCGTAAGACTTTAATGACATGTTTTCTACTACAGCACTGGCTTTCTGTACACCCAGAAGGAAAGAGCACACACTGTTTATGCTATTTGATAATGACAGATGTGTTAAGAGGGTGTTACCTTACTTCCTGCAAACCTTAACTCAGGAACATGTGTGGTCCACAGGGTACAAATATTTTTGCGATCACGCAGCTCAAAATTAAAAGGTTCTCAGATTCAATCTGAAGCACACTTTCCTTCCACTCATAACATACAAGATGATGAAATATGAAGAACATTTCTGGAGATGCACTCTGGGCACATAAAATGTGCATATAAATGTTGGTAATGTTACATTCACGAGTTATCAACATAACACACAACAAAGGACAGAATACTTCTTGACTCCCTCTTCCATTTCCCATTTTAAGTTTTGTACACCTTTTGAACACTGTATATTAGCATTTCAAAATTAATTCTTTCAGTGTCTTTTCAAATGCTGCCCTATGACAGTTCAGTCAGAAATGCAGTAGCCTGGTTTGGGTGCTTTTCTAGAGCTATATTTGGATCTATCTACATTTTCCATGGGAAAAATCACAGAGGGAGTTACTGTACTTGAACCTGTTGCCCCCCTCCCCCTTACAATGTTTTGTCTATAATGTGGTTGTAATAGCTTCCTTTGGGTCAACAGTACTGATAACAAAAAGCGCATACAGCAATCACAAATGATGCTGATTCTTTTCTGCTCTCCAAGAAAAAGCACTCCTGGCTTTGAACACATTACTGAGAATAAGATAAGGCCACAACAGTTTTGTAAGTTATCATGAAAGTTCATCTGTGTTGGTAGTTACACGTTTAGAGTTAAAACTTTTGGTCCAACACAAAAATTCTCTAAATTTTGTAAGTTGGTTGTTGAAAAAAAAATCTTTCCTCCAAGAAACCCAAACCATGACTTGGGGCAATCACTCTCTAACCTGACAAGGAAAATTTGACTACTCCCACAAACTGCAATCTTTTTTCTTTATTCATCAAATTACATGAAATGACCTTGCAATAGACGGCATAACTGAAGGTCAAACTTGCCCCCCCCCCACCATCACAGCTACTTGTACATTTAATGTAAAACTTACTGACCATGCATACATTGTGTAGAAACAACAAAAAGGGGCAAAGAACAAAATGACAACAGAGCTTTCATACAAAGAAACAAACTGTAGTATACTTTGACAGTCACTCCATGAAACTGTACATGTTGTATGCATAAACGAGCGTACTCTCTCCTCTAGTTCTGTTTTTATATTGTTTTTTCTTTTCGTTCACTATAATTTTAAAAAATCCTGAAGTCAAGGAACAAAATTGGAGTCGATTTATGACTGACACAAAACTGCCAACTTTGTACTTAACACATTGGAATTAGTTCATCAGAACATGTCTAAGACTATGGTATTCAGTCATTTATTTACCAACAAGAAAGACCCCACTCCACATAATATCAGTAAAACTTACAACTATTCATAGAGCCTTATGTCTGTGTGCTTCCACTTAATTCTTCAAAGAAAGAACTTGAAAACAACTGAAAGTGGATCATGATGTGGCATCGCATTGGGCTGGCTGAACTACTGACAACAGTACAAAACACAGTACCAGATTTTCAATGGCCAAACGGCAGATCTTTCTGATGTTTCACGCATGTCTTCTATTTGTTTTGTGTCCCTAGTATATATGTTGACCTCGTACAAAAATATCAAAATTTGACATCACTACAGTGACTATTGAATGCATGGTACATGAAGGTGCAAAGTGGAGAACACTACAGTTTCTGACACATGAACGATACCAGTGACTGCATATCTATAGGACATTCTGTATATGTAAAAGGAGCATCTAACTCTTAAGTACAGACTCTCAAAAATATCACCTTTAAAGGCTTATTCAAACAACACCTGTGTAGTCTAACTTGTAAATAACACATTTTTTTAAACATTAACTTGGATACATAATAAACTGAACAAAAGAGAACTGAAGATATCTGTACAATGGATTTATATGATACTACTGAAACTACTACTTCAAGAGAAGTCTGGACAATCTGTGCACTGGTAAAATGAACAGTATGTATGATTTGTATTTTATCAATTTTCTTAATGTCAGAGTTATGATCTCCCTACATGAAAGCTGTAGAGAAAAAAAAACTCTGACCTGTTGCTCCCCAATAGGATTCACGTAGTGAACCGAACGAAAATGTCAACCTCTGAAGCAGTCCAAAGGAATACTGACTGAAACGTTGGAATGTCTTTAGTGTCTGCGCTGTTTCTTGGCGCTGCTGCCCCGCCCGCCACTGTCGTTCCGCTGTCGCTTGTGCGAGGACGACTTGTGAGGAGACTTGTGGTGGTGCGAGGAGGACTTGTGTGAGGAGGACTTGTGAGGAGACTTGTGAGGAGATTTGTGGGGGGATGGCTTGTGCCTGCCGCCGCCACCGCCGCCCTTGCTGGAGGACTTGCTGTGGGAAGTCTGCCTGTTGCGCCCGCTGCGCGGTCGCTCTTCCTCGTCCTCGTATCTCGACTCACGATCGGCTGAGAGGAAGCAAAAAAACAAACACGATTGTTCATCTCCATATGCAACAATAATATAAAACACGATATGAAAGATGATTGGTCCCCTCGTATCTCGACTCACGATCGGCTGAGAGGAAACAGGAAAACAAACACGATTTTTAGTAAAACGTTGAACTTTACTCCAACATACAACTGTAGATCAAATTTTTAGTGACTAATGTCGCCTTAATCAGGATAATTAATGACCAATCACTTCACAATGTGAGTTATGGTTTACAAACATGTAACCTTATTCTTTTGGGTAAGTCCAATTTCTAGTGTTGGATATTGTATTTCAAACTTGTTTCATAATGAGTTCTACCAACACAGATAAAGTTTCAAGATAAAACACGATTGATGATGTTGATCTCCATATTCGACAACTTTATCCATATTCAACAACATTATAAAACACCATATAAAAGACCAGTCATTTCAATTTCAATGGGATTTCAATTTAAAAACTTAAATCAACTGTCAGGTCCAAATATCTGTATGAAGTATAAAGCCAGGTAAAGGTTATTAATATGACACAGATCAATATACAACAAACAGAAGTAAGCACTTTAAATCAAAAGATAAAACTTAACTGTAATACCAGTTAAAATCTTGCCAATCAATAATATTCCTATCGTTAATACTTAGTCTAATAAAAAAAAATCTATTCACATTTGAGTTATTCTGTTCAGAAACCAACCAACCAATGCCAGTGACAGGTGAGTGAAAAGATTTGCGGGGTAAGAAATGCCTTTGTAGGTCAAATACTCCACCATGATTGGTCCCCATGGCCATCCTGCCAGAACAGAACACAAATGAAATTCCTCCTAACTCCTACTGAAGTAGGTTTGTTTGCATGTTAGGGACTAAACAAGGCCATTGACACTTTGGATACAGGAGTGCAAATACAGTACGGGGCTGGGGAAAACCTGTGTAAGCAGCTTGTTTGGACTGGGGAGACTCCCCGACATTCTGAAAACACATGTTCTCTGCAAGAAGCACAAACAGCATGTTCTGTAAATGTCAGCCCATCATGGGGGAGGGGGGCCACGAAAGGTCAAGTTGACTGCAAGGTCAGACAGTCGTTATCTCCTTGAGTGAGCACGTCTAGGGAAGGGAAAGTACTAGTAGCTTATCCTTATCTCTGCTGCCTAAATAAACCCATGAACAATATGAATTTAGTGCTATAAGCAGCTACCCTAGCTGGCAAAAGGTTACTGTAATTCACTTAATGTTCAAAGTAGCAAAATTTCACAGTCTTGAGAAAAATAGACATGTTCAAGGAACTATAAATAATAATATTATTTATGGTGTCGACAGGTGCAGAAAAAAGAAAGTCCAGGAATTATTTGTTAAATGTAATGATAAGTTCACGGTATAGAAGTGGCAGTGAAAACAGTTAACAGTACAGTGAAAAAAATCAGGAATTACAGTATAGATGTACACTGCACAAGTATGGCACCTAAAATTTCTGAGAAACTAGTATTGGTGAAATGTCTGGTCCTATGTAGTATGAGGGATACTGGTACACATACAACATGTAATTTCTGAAGAGAAATGGTTAGGACACTTAACAGTATAAGCATTGCCCCTATTTAGTACATGTACTATCGCTGCTGTACTATCATTTAGCTAACTTGGTATGTTGATCTACTGTGGAGCAAAAACTTTCTGTTTTTATTTTCTAATTTGGTTCCGGACTGCACACATCAACAATAAACAAAAAGAGCTTCTTATTAGCAAAGACAGGTTAGATTTGGTAATAGCATCACCCCTTGTCTTATCTTCCGGATTAAGTAAAGACTAACCCAAATAAACACACTCAAAAAAGCATTTCAGGAAGTATTTTGTGACAGTCTGGCCTACTTAAGTGAACATCTACATGTAAATTTTCAATTCCACTAGCGTTCCACTAGGTTCTCCACTAGCTCACACAACTTCACCGTCCAAATTCCTTGTTCGAAATCTTTTTACAGTGACAGTTTCTTTTCCCGCACAGCCAAGCTTTGGAATTCCCTCCCTGACAAGTGTTTCCCACCAACCTACATGTACAATCTACAGGCTTTCAACTCAAACGTTCACCGCCATCTCTTGACATAGCCATTTTTCTCTTATCTTTCTAGTTCAATGCCGAGAAGTGGTCGTATAGGCCTTGCATTGAACCACTCCGTTAAAAAAAATTCATTAAATCTACATCTACCAAATAAAATATGCTAATATAGTAGAGAGATACTGTATTGTGAAGAATGTTGCATACCTCTACATGTACACTAGTAATATTTCATAACTAAAGCATGTCTTACATATATGTAATACATCAGAGAAGATGCACTCATATACCTGATGGTAAACTGATGGAACAGCTTGGCATGGGAAAAGTATCCCATGCAGATTGTTTTTCATTATAAAATCTAGGACAGTCAAATAAATTCCTGGGGGCCATTCCATAAATTTTCTTGAGGCAGGTGGGTGGGTATACATACAGTAAAAAAGCAACTGTTTGGAAGACGTGTTGAGAAATATGCATTGTAGTTTGTAATAGTCTAGCAGCATTGATGAAAAAATCTGACCAATTGTGCAGAAAATTGCTTCTGGAGAGTAATTAAGATGCCTCCATATCCAGATCTCTTTGTGTACCAAATTTGCACAATTTTCCAGCCATGCCACTAGACAACAAGACAACAATTAATGCAGCACCACTATTATAGTATCTACCAGAACTTAATGGCAGAGGTGCGTTCCAAAGTACCCCTACATGTCACGGTATGTTGCCATGCTACATTCAAAGTGGTTCCAAACAACAGATGAAATCCTGGCAGTGAACATTTTTGTCTCACACTCTGGCATTTGACTGTTTGGTCTCCCAGGAATAACAACAACCTGGTACTCAAGACCTGAAGTGCCACAGACAGCGTTAGAATAGAGCCACCAATGACATTTCACAGACCAAGCCAGCCACTTAACCTAGACGGGTTTCCAAAACATGAAAGCTAATTGAGCAATATTTGGGATCTACGATCTACTTATAGCGATCTAAATCGTAATCCGTTTGGCCTGGTGCTGGTACAGATCTGACCAGTTATGACCTATATTGTCTAATACCTGCTATGGTTCACAGGCTGCGAAAACAAGCAGAAACCACCTCCAGGCTACCCAGTGATTGACAGTTGGCAGGAAACTCTATTAGATCCAGTTCTGACAGCAGGAGAGTTGGATTCCAACCCTAAAACTTTCCTGATGTCCAGGACACGACTTCACCCACCCCCAGCCAGGGTTATGCCCCCCTCCCCACTCGAGGTGAAGATATTTCCTCATAATTACCAAGAAGGGGAACATCTAGGATGACCACTTGCCCCACCCCATGCTACTGTTGACACAAGACACACCAGGGGTCTAGTCTCTGTTGACAAACTCATCTGCAAGGTGCTAGGGCACAAGTACCCAATTAAACGCACAATGACTGGGTTTATGTCGCGACAATCCTATACAAATAAGACACTGAGCTTTGAAAAACCTACATGTATAGGGATGGGCTGATTTTTGTCGCACACTTCTATTCATAACAAATGTACTTCATAAAACTTCAGTAAATGATTTCTTTCCACAGTAATAGTTGTCACCGTTTCCTTCTGTCAGGTGTGAAACTTTTCGAACTGGCCCAGTTGTTACACCGTAATGTCAATCAAATAGACTTCAAAGGAACCTCCCAAACATGATCACTGTTATACAAAAAACATGTCAGTGCCTGGAAACTGGCCAATTAGCCGGTCTGTAGTGTGATCTGTTGCCAGTACAGTCAGCTCTGTTGCACAAGAAAGGGCTGTTCTAAGAGCAAGATTTATTAAGTTTCAAGCACTTTTAACAAACTAATTCTAAACTTTTAAAATCAACACATCATAGAACTTTCATCAGTTATACATAACTTACATGTATATGCATGTGGTTCTCGAAAACCATTTAAAAATGGGCAAGAAAAGTGAAATACATAAAATATTTTTGGTTCATGAATTCAAACTACATGTATATCCATATAGCACCTGGCAACGGTTCATGATACTAAGTTTGGAGATTCCGAAATGAAAGGTTTCGCCTCCATGCAACGGCCAAAACCCACAGTGGGGAAGGGGCGAACTATGTCAACTATGTTCTGCGATACCCTCAGATCCTTAACCATTGGCCTTTTTGCTTATTTTGGGAACAACATGTGCACAGCAACGGAAGTGACCTCCATGTGTGGAATGCTCAACCAGGTGATACCCACGTATGAATGGGGAGACCGCGTGTAAGGGCCAGACCACCCTAATCTTCAAGTAAACGAAAGGCTTCTGCCCTACGCAAGGCTTCTACCTATGTCGGGCTTCTCTGCAGTGCATTTTGCTTGTTTTGTAAATTGTATGTCTTCCAAATGCTGTTGTTGTCATAAGATACCTCAACTCAATGAGGAAACATAACACCTCAAAAGATACACGAAAAAAGAAAAACTCTAAACATGTAGAAATGACATACGGTACATTTCTCCAAGTGGAATAACAGTGTGGGCTACCCTATAAGTAAAAAAAAACAAAACAAAAACAAACAACAGCAGAATTATGTTTTATAATAAAACCATCCTATCTGAGTAGAGATCCCTTCTCAAAATCCCTTCAATCCCCCAGCCTCTAAGTGGCAATCCCAGCGGGACTATCATCCAAAACCTGATCAATCGTGTTACCCAAATTCCTGCCCAAAACACCCCAGCGGGTTGGTTTAAAAGAAAACATGTGCAGAGAGTGTCATACTTGCACTTGTTGCTGTGGTCCGCCGATGCCCCTGGCTGCAAGGTTTCACAGTTGTGGACTGTGTCCCTCTCTTGGAAGAGAGTTGTGGTTACGAACGTCCTCCATTCCACTGGGCGGAGGTCTCGGAGAAGGATTCAGGGGAAGTTGGACTTCTAGATCAACGTAATAAGCATCCCTTTTTGACCGTGTGGGCCTGTTCTTGTATCCGTTCCCTACATGACCGTTGCCTTGACCTTGGTGGGGATATTTTGACCTTGAGTGGTCGGGGCTTGAAGCCAAGTCTGTAAAACCATACTGGAAACTTATTGGCGAAGGCTCAGGTATGTCTGTCCTGTCAAAAGCAGTAAGGGGAGGTTTTTCGGAAATGTCAGACAATTCCGTCGTTTGTGTGTCATATCCGCTCTCGTAGCGGTGCAGAACCGCCGGGCTGTACTGAACGGTTGGCTCTGAGCTGGAAATACTGTGGTCCTGACTCCGATTCCTCCGAAAACGCATGAAAGTCAGCCCCACAAAGAACACAAGGCAGCAAATGCAAACCAGACCCAAGGCAATCAAGGCAATGGCGACCCCTCCTAAACTGAGGCCCACCCGACCCTCAGAGGTGACCACTGTTGTGACTTGACTTGTCGAGGAGAGGTTTGTAGTTGTGGTTGCAAGCGTCGTTGTGGACCACAAACCGTCGTTACCCCACGACGTTACGTTCAGGTACGACCACACCGTGACGTTCTGACCCGAGTTCCCGGCGATACACGTGTAGTACCCACTGTCTGGGAGTCGGGCCCGGCGGATTACCAGGGTGCTTTCCTTCAGCCTTATGCCTTTCAGGCTGGACTGAGGGGTGATGTAATCTCCGTGCGGCGTCCGCCACATGACAACCGGGTCCGGATCGCCCGTCGCCTCGCATCTCAGCGCGGCCCGGTCCCCCTCCAGGATATCCAAACGCACGGTGTGGCTGAGAATCTTGGGCGGCTTGCAGGTAAAGTTTGTCAGGGGCATGTTGACGAACAGGTCCTCTGACATCTCGTCCGTCTCTGTACAGTAGGTGCTCTCCACGGATGACAGGGAGAAGTAAGCTGTATCCACCAGCTTTCTGAGCCACAGCAGCTCGCAGTTACACGTCAGGGGATTCTCCGCCAGTCCTATCGCTCGCAGGGAAATCAATGGCTTGACGAGCTCCCTGGACAGGGTTGTCAGATTATTTCAGCTGAGTCCCAGGAACCAGAGGCGGGAGAGGCCTCTGAAGGCATTGTTGGGTATTGTCCGGAGCCCCACACCCCCTAGATACAGACCACCCAAGTTCCGTAGGTCCACAAATGGCCTGTTGTTCAACTGCAGCCCCACGTTTCCATTGAGAACCAGGAAGTCAAGGTTGCTCAGCCCCCGGAATACATCAGCCGGAGATGTTTGTGAGCAGGTTGTAGCCCAGATACAGGCTCTGCAGGTTTGTCAGGCCCTCGAAGGCACCTGGCTCGATCTGGCTGACTCGGTTGTAGGTGAGGGCCAGTCCTTCCAGGCGTCGCAGGTTCCTGAAGGCACCGCGAGGAACGTACTGCAGGTTGTTGTGGTGCAGGTAGAGGTTGACGGCGTCCTCGGGGATGTTCTGTGGGAGGGACGTGAGGCGCTGGTAGCCACAGTTCACGACGTGGTCCTCCGTACACTCGCACCTGGCGGGACACGCCGAGATGTCACCACACTCCAGAAGCACGACGAGCACGACCAACGCCTCCTTCCAATAAGCCATCTTGGATCACGACTCGGGGAGAAGATTGTATACAAGTTCCATGGACCACTGGCAACCAAGGAATAACAAACCTTCAAAGGCAGTGTTGAGGAAAGTCAGCGGAGTGGAGAGCTGGTGCCTTGTCTTCAAATGGTTGAACCGGCGACCAGTAAATCAATCAGCACGGCCGTTTGTGGAGAAATGCCCCCTTTTACACAGGGTGAACTCCTACAGAAATCCTGGAGCTTGCCCGAGTGGTGGGAGCTTGGCACTGTGTCCAACTTGGTGTGGCACCTGAATAAAGCTGCTGTGCGTGTGCTGAGCAATTTATTTGTAATTTGGGCCGAACCAATCTCCCGGCCAAGGAGGGAGGAGCCACCACCACATGTTGGCCACAAACTTTGCTGGCTTCCTGCTGTCGGCTGCAGGCTACCCGGATTAAAATCTCCCCCTGCAAATAATTAAGGGGTTTGGCAGTTAAAGCGAGTGCCCCAAAGGCAGTCACTTTTAATTAGCAGTGATATGTGGGCTGGGAGGGCCTTGTTTCTTTTTGAATGATAACCCTTTCTGCCTGTCTTGCTCAGGTATAAAACTCGTCCTACATTCCTTCCAGCCTGGCCTGGTAGAGGGAAAGACGTTCCCACATGGCTAGAGGACAGTACGTTTACATCCGCTATGTTATTACGTTTACTTGTGTGCAGGACAAACATGTGCGGAGGTATGTTGTTTATATGTCTAGCCACCCTTTTCCCCGGATAACGTCAGGCCTACAGATGGATGCCAGAGGTCCCACTTCAACTTATTCCTCCAATGACAACTCTGACGTACAAGTCGGAGTGCACACACGCACGCACGCAAAGCTTCCTGTGCGAAAGGCGACACAATCCTCGCCAAGGCCCTCTCCCGTCCTCGACACTGACTTCCAAGAAAAGGACAGAAAGGGCCGATCACAAGTGATTGTATGCTCATTTTCTCTGAAATTGTTGGTATTGTTCCCTCCCTTTTTAGGTGAGTGCCTGGAGACCAAAAAGCAATGGTTACAGGGCTGCACCGGCCACAATAGGCAGGACAAAACCCCTGGCACTTGTGATGAATGGGGCATGAGTGACTACCCCTAATCTGGGCGTCAATCACCCAAAAAAGATTATCTTAAAAACCACTTATCCCAGTCCCCTGCTTTGGACCCACCCTATCATCTGCTAATAGGGGGAAATAGTTTTACTACCAGGATAAAGAGATTGCCAGAAAAACTTTCACTAATTCAAACTGGGTGAAAAGATCGTCTCTCTGATAACTCTATAGGGGGGCAGGGTAGAAGAGGGTAATGGGGGCTGTTGGGGTAAAGACTCCTCCCCAAAGTTGCGGTACCCTGCTGGGGGATACCTTACAACCTCCTGCCTCCCTACAATGAAAACAACAACAAACTCAGGGTGACATCCCCATAATCACATCCTGAAATCCCCCCTCTAGAAGAAAGCCCACAATCCCGGACATCGGTCTAATTTAGAAACCAACTGGGTGGCATCAAGCTCAACCCACTTGAAAACAGGGCATGAGGAGTTGGAAGGGGAAAAAAAACTCAGGCCATTTGTGCTATGTATTCAGGACAGCAGATCTTATCCGCTTGTCAAGTGAAGTGGAAGACTTGGCCAGGGAGGCACGCCACACAAGAAGATATCTTAACCAGCTTGCCCCAAGCCGACCCTCACAAGCAGTGACTCTGACGTCTCACAACAAGTCAAGGGCCTTTTCACGGGGCCTCAGTGTCTTACTTTAACAAGTTGAACATGTACCGAAGTTGTGTTTCACACAAAAAACTGAGGAGTTAGTTTACAGTTTCAAATAGCCTGGACCACAAATATCTGGATTTATCTGATGACACTGCTAATCACTCTCCAAGGAGCCCTCTTTAATTGGGATGTAATGCAGTCTGACTGGGAGACAGAAGAGAACACTAAGCAGGAGCCTACTTTGGGCAAGCTGCCATATGATTGGGGTGTCTGACATCTGCAGCGTAAGCGGCTAAACTTAGACATATCCTCACTAACAAGCCTTCCTCGGAAGAAAAATAATAGTCGGCAGAGTCAGAAGATTAAGATGCTACAGTTCTAGCTTATCTGAACTTCTGCGAAAAATGTGTAAACTTTACTAATACTAAATGATGTGATGGAGAGACATAATAAAAGATACAAACAATCTGTGACACAAGACATACTGACATGGCAAAAGCTTGAGAGATTGACACAAGGGTACCCTAAGGGAGAACAATCTGCATTTTAGCAGTGCCTGATCCAGGATGTTGGAATTGAAGTAAAAAGGGTTGATGCAGTGTTGTTATGTCTTGTTTGAGAAAGATAAAAATAATTAAACATGTAACATTTGAGCAGGAAAAAAAAAGTGTGCGAAAACTTCCTCCCCTTTCTTTATCTACAACACTCACTCACTCACTCTCTCCCATAGCTTAGTCAGCCGTCGGGGCAGCATGTTTGGCCAAGTTCTTCCACTGCTGGCGGTCCTCCGCCAGTCTGGCCATCTGGTTGGCTGTTAAACTAGTCCACTCTTTTAAGTCCGTTATCTACAACACCAGGTCCTAAAATTTCTCCACGATTCCATCTTTTGGGGCTTTTAAATTTCCAGATGCAACCACACTGTCAGTGGTACAATTTCTTGGCAGAAAGTTCACAGACTGGCTTATCGGAAGTTCTATTTCTTTGCTGCCTAATCTGGCCGCCTCTCTGCAAATTTCCCATGCCGGCCTTTGGTTTCACAGGTGTCTATTGATGACTCTAGTTACATAACCGGCAAGTATCCAAAAGTCAGACCAGCTCCCTGGGCTACAGTGTCTCTAATATAAAACACTCCTGACTCTGCCAATATCACAGGAAGCCCTGCAGAAACAGATAGAACTGCCACATCCTGAGAGAGGTGCCCAGTCTGGGTGTCAGCCACCTGCCAGCCACATGTCCCCGGCCATTTCCTCGGATGCAGAACAAATGATCTCATCACAGTAGAGCATATCTCCCTCCCGCTGACCCCAGGCTATCAATTTGGACCCACAAATTCTCTTCTCCCTGGACACACTGCACAGAGGAACTCAGTCCAAATGGTTTGTTTTCTATTACCAACAAATCAGGAAACAGAAAGAAATGGACTAGTAGATAGAAAGAAGGCAAATCTACTTGTACAACTTTAGGGCCGTTAATTCTACGTAGAGCGTAGACGGACCACTCTAATTCAACTTAGGGCAGAATTGGCGCATTTTTGTGTAGAGCTTATTCGCCATTTTAATTCTACATAATGCGTTGTAGCCACTTGGAATTTATCGTAAAGTGTAATCGGGAGGTTTCCGAATTCAGCTTAGAGCATTGTCGGGACCCCCCCATGCAGGCCCCCCCTTTAGGTCTCACTATTCGTCCATAGAAAGGTTCTTTTGTGAGAGAAATTACCAAAGCCGCCAGCAAAAAATGCAGCTACACTAGAGTTTGGGAAATTCTTTAATCTTTAGCCCTAAAGATATACTGTTTAAAACAAACCAACTGCCCTGGATGCCTAACCTCCACGGACGAACCATTTTTGTTCTAAACACCCCCTGCAAGCCCGGGGCAATGGTCAAGCCCACCGCTGCACTTTCCTGGCAGGTTGTAGAGGACTGGCAGCCAACTCATGTCAACACCACCGGTCTCCTCTGGCTCTGACGTGCCCACTGGATGTAACATCCTTACCCCTGGATCATGTGTGTCTTCCTAAGTACATGTTGCAATGGGAAAACAAAGTAGACCAGCTTATCCACTAGGGAGGCCCCTTTCTGACTCTAATAGAGCAGCTTTGTGATAAATTGGAACTGGGACTTTAAGGCTCTTTTTAAATGTCTCCTATGGATCTATGAAGCTGACAGAAATATTCCATGACTACCATAGGCTAGCTAGATGGTATTTGCAGCATATACTAGTAACTGCTTTTTGATTATATGGATGACATCCTCTGGAAGACCCAAAACTGATGCGAGCGTGCGAATAAAAAAAAAAGTTTGGCCTCCCAAAAAAGTTACTTTCATTATGAAATCTACATGGTTTTGAAGGTTGAATAAATAAGACAGAGTATGGCTTGGCGAATAATCTATTCTTCAAATTCATTACTTTACATGTTCGTATTTTTCGTTTGATTTTGGCATTCTATGACATAGGTATCATTTTCTAGTGTTTTTTTTCTTCAACTTACCGTATATTTTCGCTCATTTTGCAACTGTTTTGTACAATTTACAGTATGGTCCAAAACTTTTTTTGTTTAATCAGCGGAAAATTCATGAGTGTGGATGGCATCCATGATATAATCAAATCAACATAGTCTATAGAATTATATTTTCAACATAATATTAACCAGGACCTCCTATTGTCCTGTTTGTAAACAGATCCTGTGTTCCTACAGGGAGAGTATCAGAGAGGCCCACCCTGATCTCTGTTGACTTTTTGACTCTTAAGTAGCATATCTAGTTTCTTCCCCTCTTTACCAAGGGACCCTAGGGCAGGCATAAGGCACCAATTACACCCAGCTCCCTGGTTATATTCCTCTCTGTGGGGAGGGCTGGGGTTTCATGACATAGCCCTGCAAGGGGTGGCATTTCCAGACATGAGTAGCTCATGTTTTATACTGCCAGGTGCACCTCTTCTTCAATTTAAAGGCTTGGAAACCCAATTTTTCAAAGTCAATATTCTAGCCATTTATCTACATACTGAGTTGAAACCACACTATCCCAATGTATATTGACCCTCAAAGAGCAAAAATACACAAAATTCTGACAAAAAATGGTTGCTGGAACGTTGCCGGGCTGATTTTTAGGGTACCACCCAGAAAAAAAAAAGAACTCATCTTGGGGCTTGTTTCTGTAGCTTTAAATGCCCAAAGTATGAAATACTGATTGAGATGTGCTAATGTGAAGTAGTATGTGTCAATATCACAAATATTGCTTTATTCAGAATATTTCCAGTTTTGCTGCTCTGAAATCGCATTGGATGCCTTTAAATGAATGAACTAAATTGCTCAACAATTTCTACACACAAGGACTAAAGCATAGGAAGTTTATGTCAATCTTTTTCTAACATTTCTAAGAAACTAGTCAAAACTAGTTGCAAAGAACTCTGATATCACTGTTTTCTATTCAAGCCATTGTAAATTTTATCAAGCCAAAATGCCTTTTTATTAAATCCCGAGAAATGCTATTTCACACATTTTGAGATGAAAATTTTAGGGAGTGAAGCTAAGTCTCTATGCTTGTCTTATATTAACTTCTGAGGTACCCCTTCCCCCGCTTCCTTACCACTTAATTCTCATGACTGCCTGAGGTAAACAGTAATGACAAGTTAAAGAACAGACTTTCAACTTGAGTTCAAGCATGCTTATCTCTTAAAGTAAAGTCTGACAATCCTTTTATCATACAGGAAAATCCCTGCCAAGGTACGGTATGCAGAAACAACATGACAGATAGGACCTTGACTGCAATTTTAATCATAGGCCACACCGACTTAATTTTATGGATGACATCCACGTGCGCATTGATTTTTGCCTGTTCACTATCCTCCGAGGCTCTGGCCTGGCTCTAGGATCTAGGCCTGGGTGCACGGAGCCTGTGGTAACTCTGGAGGACGGCACCCAGGCTACCGAAGCTCCACGACTCAAGAACTCAGTACATACGTACAGTGCAGATTCATAAATTATACAAAAAGCCATGCAGCATGTCCATGTGCCGGCTTGTCATGTATGTCGCTATGTACTGCCGCAAATTCACAATACCAGCTTTGTATCCCTGTGGTTTAGTAGCAATTTTATTTTTGGCTGGAATTTTTTTTTATTTGCCCGTACTAGTTTGGGGGTCTTCAGAGGATGTCATCCATAATATTA